TCACACACAGAAGAAGGCAATTGCAAACCACTTCTGGATCATCTGCCAAGAACGTATATGAACAGGTCCCAGTCCGAGAAAAGGATGGAAGGATCCTGTTCATATGGACCTGTCGTCAGACAGAACACTACAAATAAAAAAAAATAAATATATAACCTGGTGATAAAGACGAAAACTGTAAATCAGGATGTACAAACGTGCTGATCATTCAAATTGATAGTAGCCTCATTGCAAGTCATGTCAAGGATTGCATTTAAATATCTTCACTGAGCTTTCTCTAAATCAGTTATCATCGAGAAAGCTACAGAACTTCTTCATTCAACTTTAATATATGACGATTTTATCTCTTATATAAGTACTTAATCCACACAACTTTGTACTTCAGAGGAGTTACCTCTCAAAGGTGCATTTTCCTGACACAACACAAACTATGTGTCACTCTTATCTCTAAAACATAAACATTTTCACACACAACTTTGATCTCTGACTTCGTTGTGTTTTTTAAGTACGTACTTTGAAATACAATAGTTAATATATCTTATTTTTCATTCAGATTTGAATTATGATGGATTTATCTATAAAACTGTGTATTTAATCATACAAATATGCTCTATAACATGGATATGTTTCCTAAAATAACATTTAACTTTTGACGTAAATACGTCTATATTTTAGGTTCAGTGTTATTCGGCAAAAATGTGTTACGAAAAAGTGTTACGAAATAGTGTTACGAAATAGTGTTACGAAATAGTGTTACGAAATAGTGTTACGAAATAGTGTTACGAAATAGTGTTACGAAATAGTGTTACGAAATAGTGTTACGAAATAGTGTTACGAAATAGTGTTACGAAATAGTGTTACGAAATAGTGTTACGAAATAGTGTTACGAAATAGTGTTACGAAATAGTGTTACGAAATAGTGTTACGAAATAGTGTTACGAAATAGTGTTACGAAATAGTGTTACGAAATAGTGTTACGAAATAGTGTTACGAAATAGTGTTACGAAATAGTGTTACGAAATAGTGTTACGAAATAGTGTTACGAAATAGTGTTACGAAATAGTGTTACGAAATAGTGTTACGAAATAGTGTTACGAAATAGTGTTACGAAATAGTGTTACGAAATAGTGTTACGAAATAGTGTTACGAAATAGTGTTACGAAATAGTGTTACGAAATAGTGTTACGAAATAGTGTTACGAAATAGTGTTACGAAATAGTGTTACGAAATAGTGTTACGAAATAGTGTTACGAAATAGTGTTACGAAATAGTGTTACGAAAAAGTGTAACTTCATTGTTATGTTACTTAGGAAACCTCATCTGT